AGGTTACAGCTTAGAAAACCTTAAGGTGGTGCAGTGGTTAAAGCCCACAGGTCCAACATTAACCCATATGTCCAACACCAATCCACAAAGTCCTCCTACATTTCACAGAACACACACTATGATGCCGACTGCAGGGGGGAACCGAGTCAGTGAACGTGTAAGCATATTAGGGCTAGCAGGGGTCTCCACATGGCTGCTCTAGCACCCAGGGCTGCATCGGGGTAGGTCCATGTGGCTTCTCCTCAGGGATGTCTTGCAGGAAGTGAGCCTTGCACGCTGAAGGAGGAACTGGCTAAATCAGCTGCACCCTGGTCCGACTATCACAAAGCAAGAAACTGGAAAGGCAAGGCTCACTGAGCCATTTATCCCTCCGCCCTTCAATTAACCCCACATGTGTTTATCAGCCAGGTTGGCACAATAAACTAACAGCCTCGCTCCACCAGAGTCCCGGCCTCCCAGACTCCTTAAATATGAGCAGAGCGAATTTATCTGCATACACTCCCTTCCCGGTTCTCCATTTCCCACAGCCTGGGGGAGGGACATGGAGCAGGAGACAGACTAGTGAAAGGAGGGCAGGCTGTGGGGGTGGCCGGGTTCCGGGGTGGCTTGCTTCCTGGCCAACCAGCTAACATCCCTCTCTCTCCACAGACAGTTTGCCAAGATCGAAGCGGCCACCCAGCACCTGGCCTTGTCCATCCTGTCCCAGGAGGCGCCTCCTCAGAGACCCCTGCCCCAGAGGCCACCCCTGCCACCCCCTTCCCCCTTCCTGGGAGTGGCCTGCGCTGTGGCCCCCGTCGAGGTGTCCCGCCGAGCTGTCCCCAGCCTGTGCCTGGAAGCCCTGGACGCGTCCACCCTGGACCTCTTCGAAGACATCGCACTCACCCCGGAGTGTCCCCCTGTGATGTCTGACCCCTCTTCTTGGCTGCTGCCCCCTGCCGCCGCCACTACCCTGCTGGGCTCAGACCTGCCCAATCATGCTCTGAGCCAGCCCTTGCCCCTGACCCAACACGCCCTAGGCGGAGGGGATGAGCTTCTGGGTCCAGATTGGGGGTGGGAAATGCCTTGTGCCTGGGGTCCTCAGGGGGTCCCTGAGGGCTGGGGAGGTTGCTTCCAGTGACATGCCATCACAACCCAGCCCCAGGAACCTTCCCATCCCTTCCCTTCCTGCCCCCCACCTCAACCAACCAGGTCAGGCACCCCCACCTCTGCTCTAGGGAGCCCCACCGTGCTCAGGACCCGTCTTCCTCCCTCCCTCCCCCCCTTCCTTCCTCCCTTCCTTCAGCACCAGCCCCGTGATGTCTATGGCTCCAGCTTCCTGGAAGCCCAGCCAGTCTCTGCCAGGTGTCTGGCTCCAGCTCACTCCTTGCCAACCCAGAGAAGGCCCTTCAGCCCTCTCCAAAGGGCCACACGGAAGGGAGGATAAGCCCAGGGTGCGGTTCAGCACTGATGAAACGCATAAGGATCCTCTAGTTCTTTAAGATTTCCTCCCCTTCCTATTTTTAATGTGTTTCCCTCATTAATCATGTTCGATTTGTGTATGTTCATTTGCGTATTTAAGATTGTTCAGTACATAAAAGCCAAGAGAGATAACCCTTCAGAAACAGTAATAGGAGCAATGGTTCCCTGAGGGTATGGAAAGGGAGGTGGTGGTGGGAGGGAACTGATAGCACTGATGACTGTCTAACTCTACTCAATGCGATTAAATTGTACCTGAATATTGGATTGTGTAAGATATGGCAAAAAGAAAAAAACGATTGTAGGAAAAAATAAAATAAGGGGTGGGGGTAGAGGGCAGGAGGGAGGGGAGCGAATATCAAAAGCCCAAGAAGAAAGAAAATGCTTTGAAACTGATTGTGGTAGCGATTGTACAATACTGCTTGATGTGATTGAACTACGGAATGTTATGAAATCTGGAAGAGCTCCCAATAAAAAGGATTTAAAATTTAAAAAGAAAAAGCTAGAAGGTCCTTCAGGGTGCCCGTATTGATGGGAAGAGGGGTGTGGGGACAAAGGGAGGGGAACCTGGCGGAGACACTCCTCCTGTGGGCTGAAGGGACTCTGGAACCTGGGATTTGACCTTGTTTGGAAGCGTGGTCTTTGAAAGTGTGCTCTCTTCCCTTACCAGGAGGCCAGACGGGGGCAGGACAAAGCCCACTGCAGTCAGGGTATTCTGACACCCCCCCGTCCCGCCCCTGCACCCCTGCTGTGTTAAAGATGGCCTGCTTGCTTGGCTGCAGTCTTTAGGGGAGCAAGTAGACAGACTTTTCTTGGGTGAGTCTTAGCTTTGTCATCGAGTGCTAAGTGCTCCCTCTGTCTGCCCAGGACTGCTCGATGCATCTTTTGGTTACAGCGGCGTATTCAATTGGGATCATTCCGACCCAGAGCAGCCCCGTGTGGCGCAGTGGGAAGGTCCCAATCATTGGCTTTCTTAGCAGCCATCTTTCCTGATGGTGAAATTAGCCCGGTCATGGGGTGGGTTCCAACCGTCCGAGTTCCGGAGCAAAACAAAACAAAACGCACTCCATCAACATAATCCCGACTCATGAGGACCCTGTAAAACAGGTTAGAACTGCCCCTGTGGGTTTCTGAGACTGCCACTCTTTACTGGAGTAGCAAGCCTCTTCTTTGTCCGGAGGAGCGGCTGGTGGTTTCGAACTGCTGGTCGTGCGGTTAGGAGCCCAGAGGGCAACCAGGGGCAAACAGCTCACACCAACCAGAGCCCTAAATCCTCCGTGAGAGAAGAGACTCAGACCCAGAGCAAAACAGGAGGTCCTCCATTTAAAGGGGTCGGGGGCAGGGTTAGAGGGGCAAGGCATCTAAGAGTCAAGGAATGCCCGCAACCCCAGAAATCCGGAGGAGAGCAAGGGGCCAGATCCGAGTTCAGAGGGAGTCCCACTTGACCACTTGACAGATGCCCTGAGTTTAGATGGCTAGCCTCCCGTGAGGAGGACCTGAAGGCCCTGCTGATGAAGATCCAGGACCGCAGCCTTCATTCAGTATGGATGAGAATTCAATGTCAAGAAGACCCAAGTCCTCATCACTGGACCACAGGCAACATCCCGGCAAACCGAGACAAGATCGAAGTTGTCAAGGACCGGTGCTCATGGAAGCAGCAGTCAAGAGATCAAACGACAGACTGCATCGGGTGAATCGCTGCACAAGACCTCTTTAGAGTGGGGAAGCGTTGAGGCCATGCCTCAGTTTCCACCCTCTGCCCGGAAGGTCAGCAGTTCGAAATCATCAGCTGCTCCCTAGGAGAAAGAGGAGGCTTTTCTATTTCCTGTAAAGGGAATATAAAGGAGCTGATACCAAGGGCTTAAATAGAAAGTAAATGTTTAGAAAATGATGACAACCTATGTACAAATACGCTTGATACAATTGATGTGTGGATTGTTATAAGAGCCCCCAATAAAATGATCTTCTAATAAATAAATTTAAAAAAAAGAGTCACAGTCAGAAATCCACAGGGCAGTTCTCACCCTGCCTGTTGGGGGTCCCTGTGGGTCAGAATTGACACGATGCAAGGAGCGGTTCTCAACCTGTGGGTCGTGACCCCCCTGGGGAGTGTCAAATGACCATTTCACAGGGGTCGCCTAATTCATAACAGTAGCAAAATGATGATTATGAAGTAGCAATGAAAATAATTTTATGGTGGGGAGGCCACCACCACATCAGGGACTGTATTAAGGGGCCGCGAGAACCACTGCTCTAAGGAGTCGTGGTGGCGCAGTGGATAAGGCATTGGGCTGCTAACCTCAAGGTCAGCGGTTTGACTCCCCCAGCCGCTACGTGGGAGAAGGAAGAGGCTTTCTGTTCCCGTACAGATTTAGTCTCAGAAACACACAGGGGCAGTTCTGCCCTGACCTATAGGCTCACTAGGAGTCCCAATCAACTGATGGCAGTGAGTTTTTGGTTTGGTGAAAAAGTTACCTTGGACGGTGAACATTCTTAAGCTCTCTTAAGACTGGTCTCAAAGTGACAACGGCAGGTGGAAAGGTTAGAAGAAAGGACATTTACAGGGAATCCAGGGCGGATGAGCCCTACAGGACCAGTGGTGTGACTGGCGAAACAGGGAGGGTAAAGGGAGAATGGGTAGGAAAGAGGGAACCGATTACAAGGAACTATATGTGACCTCCTCCTTGGGGGACAGACAGCCAAAAAGTGGGTGAAGGGAGACGTTGGACAGGGCAAGATATGGCAAAATACCAATTTATAAACTATCAGGGGCTCATGAGGGAGGGGGGAGTGGGGAGGGAGGGGAGAAATGAGGACCTAATGTCGGGGGTTTAGGTGGAGAGGAAATGTTTTGAGAATGATGTACAAATGCGCTTTACACAATTGATGTGTGTATGGATTGGGATAACAGTTGTATGAGCCCCTAATAAAATGTTTAAAAAAAGAAAAAAAAGAAAGGACATTTAAGGGGCAGTGCGTGTAGGTTCCCGTAGACGGGGCAACTCAGAGATGGGTCGCTGAGTCGTCCACGTGGAGACGGTTGGGTGGGTGTATACCCTGCTGTGTGTATATTCACAACCACTCTGAAAACAAAACAAATGCTTTTTTGGGTGGGGGTGGGGGTGGAGGATGAATAGGAACCGAAACAGAAAACCCAATAAAGAAAACGGACACAACCGGAGGTTGATTCTGGTAAAAGATTTTTCTTTTCTCCAAACTTGTGATCTTTGTGGAAGCGGATCGCCAGGCCTTTCTGCCGCGCCGCTACAGCTGGGGGGCTCGCACCGCCCATCGTGCTTAACCGCTGCGCCACCAGAGCTCCGCCTAATTATCGCATCCGTGCACCACTTCCTAGTGGAGACCACCTGGGCAGGAGAAGTCGCTTTTCCAGCTGTGTCCGGAGAATGGACCACGGAGCAGGGGGACTTACTAAGTCCCTCTCTTAGTCGGGGCCACGAACTTTTTCTGAAGTCCCTGGAAGCCCCCCGTCTCTAAACGGAGGGCTCAGGACCCAGCCCCGAAGGTACCCTCCCGGGCTCCTTTCCCGCCAGCGCTCCCAGCCCCGCCTCAGCTCCGGTGCCCGCCACTCACGCTCTAAACGCAGTCTCATTGGTTGGGTGAGTTGTCTCCCCGCCTCCTCCGCCCCGCTGCGGACCAATCACACCTTTAAGACTGACACGCGTCCGCAGCCGCCCCTCCATGGGATTGGCTGGGATTGGCAGACTCGGGCGAACGCTGATTGGGCGGCCCGGCCCGGGCTGGGTAACGCTAGGGGCGGGTCTCGTGTGGGGTCAGGGCGAATCCCGTGACCTGCCTGGGAAACGCTGGACACAGGACGTGGACGTCGGAAGTCTCGGGCTGACAGGTGAGCGGCCTTCAGTCCCCAGGCGTCACCTGCGGGGATCCGGCCTGCGATCCAACCCGGCGCCCTGCGGGTAAGTCTCCTCCTGCCCGCGCTTCCCGCCGGACAGATGGGGAAACTGAGGCACGGCAGGGCCGAGAACACCGTCCGGGACGGGCCCCAGGCCGGCCCCTCTGGAACTCGCCCGCCATCGCGCCCTTCGCCCCTCAGCAGCAGACCTGCGGAGCCGGGAGGGAGCGAAATGGGGGTGGGGGCTGAGACCCCCATTGCAACGCGGAGGCAGCTGAGGCTCAGAGAGAGTTCAAGTTGTCCGAGGTCACACGGTCAGGACCTCCATGACCGGTCCCCTGAGACCACACAAGGATGTAAACAACCCTGCCCTTAAAACTGTGGGTGCCATCCTTGACCTCCTCATTACCCCACGACTCCCCCAAATCTTCCTGCGTGCCAGAGCACATCCCACCCCAGCAACACACACATACACGTACTTCTGACGGTCTCAGTTTTTCACCTGGTCTCCAAACTCAGATCACCTCCTGGCGGGGGTGGGGGTGAGGGGGGGGTACCCCTAATTGATGCGTCGACCTGCCAGGAATCCCCGTCAGAAACTTGGGGATCTTCTCTCTCCCTGTCCCCCACATCCAATCCCTCCTGCCCCCACCCATCTCTGCCTCGTCCGTGTGTACCTATCTGGACCTCCCTGGGAGAGCCCAGCCCCCTCACCCCCACCCCTCCCCTACTCCTTTCATCTAATAGTTTTAAAACATTTTACGCAAGTGTCACTTGGACACAGGAAAAGTTGCAAATGCAGGATTGGTTCCAGTTAAGTTTCAGGAGAGAGCCCCCTGCTGTTACCTGGGCATCTAAATCTACCAGTCAAACACCCCCACATGTTGTTCCTTCCTCTGCCACCACCAGCCTCTACCCAAATCTCTGCACCCTTTTCCTTTCGCTGGGGTTTGACCTTGGACAGCAGTGACCCTGGGCGAGCTTGCAGGTCTTGTTCCTGGTCCCGTAGAGCAAGCCACGCGGATTTCTTGTTTCTTTGTCTCCCAGTGTGTTTAAAGCTACGTCTACACCAGCAAGGGTGCGGTGTTGTGGCTGTCAGGTGCCATCGAGTCGTTTCTGACCCACAGCGACCTTAAGCACACCGGAACAAAGCACTGCCTTGCCCTGTGCCGCCCTCACCATTGTTCCTGTAACACAGCCCAGTGTTGCAGCGACAGTGCCAATCCATCTGCTTGAGGGCCATCCTCTTCGCTGCCCCTCCACTCGACCAAACATCATGCCCTTCTCCAGGGACCGCTGTCTCCTGACAACAGGTCTAAACTATGTAGGACCAGGTCTCACCATCCTTGCCGCTAAGAAGCACTCTGGCCACGCTCGTTCCCTTTGCCCTTTTAGCAGTCCCTGGTACTTTCAGCATTCCTCTGCAGCAGCTCGATTCGAGTGCATGGATTCTCCTTCAGTCTTCTTTACTCCATGCCCATGCGACAGCATGATGGAAAGGCTTGGCATGAGATGAGAGTGACCAAAACCTGACCTAGAGGCATGAAGCGAGCCTGCCCTGCCCGGGAAGAGATGTCTGTAGGCTTGCTCAGGACAGGAATTCCACAATCATTTGGTAAACACATGCGCAGCACACAATCTGCACGGTAGAATGAGAGATGCCTGCCCTAGTTTATCTTACTGTATGTGCGTTTAAACTTGAAGGTTGCTCTGGTGGCGTTGCGGGTTAGGCCTTGGGCTGCTAATTGCAAGGTCAGCGGATCAAACCCACCAACCACTGGGGGTGGGGGGGGGGCGATGAGGCTGTCTGCTCCCGTGGAACTTGGCAACCCGAAAACCCTAGGGAGCGATTGTCCTCTGTTGGGGGATTGAGGAGGGGCGCTCTGTTAAGTGAGACTGGTTCTTGGTTGTTGTTGTGTTAGGTACAGTTGAATTGTTTGCGACCCAGTAAACAGCAGGATGGAACGCAGCCAGATCCTGCGCCGTCCGCACAATTGTTGGCTTGGTGCAAACATATACAGTACGTGTTGTTCCCCTCATGATAAGAAGCGTGTCAAATCCAGTGTTCTGTGAACCGGCGGCTCTTAGCCACTAACCTACACGTTGGTAGTCCTAACCCACTCAGCGGAACCTTGGGGAAGAGGCCTGGCCAGAAGGTTCCTTAAAAACCTCACCCAATGCCACAGAGTCAATTCGACTCACAGGGACACTGCAGGACAGAGTAGAACTGCCCCTGTGGGTTTTTGAGACTAACTCTTTACAGGACTAGCCAGTCTTTTTCTTCCAAGGAGAGGCTGGTGGGTTAGAACCGCTGACCTTGTGGAAACACCGTGGGTTGTAAGCACCGCCCGGCCTTGCACCCTCCTCACCATCATTTCCATAGCGGAGCCCATTGTTGCAACCACTGTGTCCATCCATCTCACTGAGGGTCGAGCTCTTCTCCTGCCCCTTGACCTTCCCCAGCGGGATGTCTCTCCCTCCCGAGGACACATCCCAAGGACACGAGACCACGAACTGACACCAGCCTCACTTCCAAGGCGCGCTCTAGCCCTGCCTTTGTGGAATCCTATCGTTCTGGTCACGCGTGTGTCCCGTGAACCTAACTCGGGCCCTTTCGTGTTACTTCTGCAATTTTGCTCCACCCGAGGGTCCTGTAATTTGGAGTCCTCCTGTCAGTTTGCAGGTGTAACAGAAGGCAGAATAAATACTCAAAAGCTACCAACCCCAGTGTCATCCAATCCATTCCAACCCCCAGTTACCCTTCTGGGCAGCGGAGAACTGCCCCATCTGGTTTCCTAAGTGAAAGGTTGGAGATGGAGGCGCAGGACAGAGATAGAATTTAGCCAGGAATGTGAAGTTGAGGAAGATTTTATTGAGGCAGGGAAAGAACTCCTAGGAGGGGAGGGAGAGCAGGGAAAGGGACAGGGGCATCTTGAGCCCCCGGGCAGATTCCAAGACCCAAGGAGTTAGGTCAGAGAAGTGCACCTGGCAGTGAGGCAATGAGACTTATATAGGGTATGAGCTTAAAGGCATATGGGCCGGTAAGGAGAAGGGAGGTGCTTTGTGCTGCAGGTGCAAGTTTCGGGCCAGGTGACGTCCTGTCGGTAAATATGTTCTTAGAAACAATGCTAGGGAGAGGGGGATGGTGTTCTGTCCTGGGAGGTAAGCTCTGTGAAACGCTGAAAGCAGGTGCTTTGAAGTTCAGGTGCTTTCAAGTTCAGCCAGGTCATTTGTCTTCTCAAGCTGGTACAAGGGGCTGCCTTGGTCCGGACCCGGCCCAAACACTAAGCTGTACATCTTTATGGCCTCAGGTCACCTCCCTTTCTCCTGCAGAGCCAGAAGGTTTAAACACAGACCACTTGGTTTGAACCAAGCGCCTTAACCATGGTGCCACAAGGGCTCCCGTGACTACCTGTCGCTGGCGCCGTGGTTGCTGCCACATGCCACCCGAGTTGTTTGTGACCCCACACAGGACAGAATGAAACCCACTGGCCTGACCTACACCCTCCTCACGGCCGTTACACGGCCTGAGCCCATGGTGGCAGCCGTGGTGTCCCTCCATCTCCTTGGGGGCCTTCCCCTCTGTCGTCGCTGCCCCTCCACTTTACCAAGCATGACGCCTCCTCCAGGGCCTGGTCTCTCAGGAGAAGCATGTCAGGAGTGGATTCTCTGGGTCCTTTAGAAACAGACAGCTCCCTACCATCCCGGGGGTCCCGGCTCCTCACCCCCCGGAGGACAGGATAGGATATGTTTCCGAGGCCATGAATCTCCACGGGAGCAGACAGCTGGAGAAATGGCTGCTGACTTGGAACTGCTGGTGGCCTTGCAGTTAGAGACCCACTCCTCCTCGGCCCTTCTCTGGGTCATCCCCAAACCCACCGCCAGGACCGTGAGAACTGCCCCCGGGAGGGTTCCCAGGCCAACTCTTGTGGGAGTAGACAGCCTCCTCGTTCTCCCTCAGAGGGGCCGGTGGTCTGAAAGTGCTGACCTTGTGCTTGTGGGATTTCGGGGGGGCCTGTGATTTACCTGCCCCTGAGGTTGGTGCAAATGCCTGACGCCAGGGTAGGGGGTGCAGGTGGGCGCTCCTCAAGCGGCGAGCTGAGCATCTTCCGGAATAAGGAAGACCACCCACGGTGTTTACACACGGTCAGCGGGTGGAACCCACCGGTCGCTCCTTTGGAGAAAGGCAAGGCTTTCCAGGACTATCAAGAGTTACGGCCCTGAGAACCCACAGGGGCCGTTCAAAAGACTCAGTCCTCTCGGAGGAGGGGGGTGCAGGAAGAGGGCTGGCGGGAGGGCTCAGAAGGGATGGCATCCTGGGGTCCATTCCAGCTCCTAGCAGCTGTCAATGCCAGAGCAGAGGGGCAGTTCCTCTCCGGGGAACGTGGCTGGCAGCACCAGCCACCCTTTCGTCCTGCGGCCCGGCGGGTGGGCAGAGTCCAAACGGGGGCCGTGGTGGTGAAAGAAGTGGTTTTGTTTTGTTTAGCAATCTCGAGGGAAGGTCACGTAGTAGCTTCCTCAAATTGCACAAACCTGAAGACCCTGCAATAAGAAGCCATGGTGGCCCAGGGGTTAAGCCTGGGCCCGGAAACCGCAAGGTCAACAGTTCGAAACCGCCCCAGGGCGCAGATCACCAGGCCTTTTCCTACAAAGGCCTCCCTGAGTTTCCGAGGCTGTAAGTCTTTTTTGCTTTTAACAGTTTGATTGGCACTGCAGCCACATGTCATACAACTCAATAATTCCATCGTATCCAGAAGAGTTGTACAATCCACACCACCTTCGATTCTAGAACAGTTTCTTCTTCGTTGTACTCATTGTTACTCGTGTGATTATTCGTTTAACTGTGGCAAAAGAAATGTACACAAGAAGCATTCTCCAATTCAACAACCTCTACCTGCATCATTCAGTGTCATTGAGAATACTCTTCGTGTTGTACAGCCATGATTGGTATTCTTTCCCAAATTAGTCCACCACCAGTCCTATAAAGCTCAGTGCTCCTGAAGCAAATAGTCTGCCTCCTGCATCCATGGGAACCGTGGTCAAGTTTGGTTTCCTTCTTGAGGC